TCATAAAGGATACAAGTGTCATGACTTCCGAACTGGTCGCACGTATGTCTCTCGACACGTAGTCTTCTATGAAAACACATTTCCCTTCAAAACCATGTCCTCGGCCGACGCAAATCCAACTTCACCAAAGCCCAATGTCTTCTCACCACTTCTCCTCACACCCACCTCTACCGTTACCTTCCCAGCCGTCACCACACCATCCAATTCTATGACCCCGGCTCACTTCACATCCTCAACCGAGACCATCTCTAGTCCCTTCCCTCAAAATTTTCCCACTCCCTCACCTCAACACAGCCCGCCACACATTCCGAACACCCACACTCATCCTATGCAAACTCGCCTAAAGGATGGCATAACTAAACCCAAGCAAATATTCACTCTTCTGGCTCACTCTTCTCCGGCTGCAACTCCTACCACATACAATCAGGCCTCAAAAACAGATCATTGGAATCTCGCTATGCAAAACGAGATAATGGCCCTTACAAAACAAAATACTTGGTCACTAGTTCCTAAACCAGCGAACAAGCCCATTCTTGGATGCAAGTGGACATTCAAAACTAAGCTACTACCCAACGGTCAGGTGGATCGGTACAAGGCTCGTCTCGTCGCACTTGGCTACAATCAGCAATACGGCATCAATTACACCGAAACTTTCAGCCCCGTCGCCAAAATGCCGACGATACGTCTCCTTCTCACCGTCGCCGTCAATCGTCAATGGCCCATCTATCAGCTAGACGTGTCCAATGCATTCTTACACGGAGATCTACATGACGACATATACATGAGACAACCGCCTGGGTTCACCGACAAATCCAATCCCGACGCCGTGTGCAAGCTACACAAGTCACTCTACGGGCTTAAGCAAGCTCCGCGCCAATGGTTCAACAAACTCACAACGTTCCTTCAAGCTTACGGATTCGGGTTCAGTCGTTCCGATCCTTCCCTTCTAATCTTTCAAAAAGCTCAAATTCAAATCTACTTTCTAATCTATGTGGATGACTTCCTTGTTACAGGTAACGACGACAGAACGATCAAGCATCTCCTCGGCCAGCTTCAAGCCCAGTTCGCACTCAAACAACTCGGTCAAATATCGCTCTTTCTGGGCATACAGGTACTTCAATCCACAACTGGTTACTTCCTAACTCAACAACACTACGCTACAAAGATCCTTCATGATGCAGGATATGATGAGTGTAAACCAGCCCCCACGCCGATAGCCATTCCGTCCAAACATGGTCTCGCGGAGAGCCCACTGTTTCATGATCCAACACTCTATCGTAAATTAGCCGGCTCCTTACAGTACCTCTCCGTCACACGACCGGACATTGCATTCGCCACCAACGTCATCTGCCAACACATGCAGCAACCAACAGATGCTGATTTTCAAGCTCTCAAGCGCCTACTCCGCTACATCAAAGGTACAATCACTTACGGGTTGCCGATCACCAACGGCCCACTCGAACTAAGGACCTATACAGATGCTGATTGGGCCTCCGATACCTCCGACCGGAAGTCAGTCTCCGGCTACTGCTCCTTCCTGGGTCCAAATTTGATCTCCTGGACCGTCAAAAAGCAGGCAACCGTTGCAAAATCCTCCACCGAGGCAGAATACCGTGCCCTCTCCGCCGGCCTATCCGATGTCCTATGGTTACGCCGCCTTGCTCAGGAATTGGGCATCCCACAACAGTCGCCTACACTCATTTACTGTGACAACACCTCGGCCATAGCCATTGCCCAAAATCCGGTATTTCACGCGCGGACAAAACACATTGAAATCGATTATCACTTCATCCGACAGCATCTCGACTCAAAGGAAATTCGGCTCGTACACATTTCCTCAAATGATCAAATCGCCGACATCTTGACAAAGCCTTTCACGAGCTCTCGGTTTACGGAACTTCGACACAAATTAAGCATCCGTCCACCGCATGCTTAATTTGAGGGAGGATATTAGACTAACAGCCACTTATAACTTAGATTTGTTTTTACACTATTGCCATTATACTTCTTTATATACATTGTACCTGTACATTTTACAATTGAATCAATACAATTCCATTTTCTCTGTTTTCCTGCTTTTGTCTCTTCCGTCTTCTCTTTCTTGAATACTTTTCACATTCGGGTCAACCCGAACCCGACCCGTTTTTAAAAACGGGTCAGGTTTCTGGACCCGAACCCGACCCGTTTCGGGTTTGGGTTGACCCGAACCCGGATTTTTCCGGGTCGGGTTCGGGTCGTGTTTCGTGTCGTGTCAAAAATTGACACCCCTACCCAAGCTTGTGCTCGTGTGAGCATGCTTAGTCCGGCTATGTTCGTGTGTAACTTGTGGTTTCATTCAAAATGCTTTCATCATCTAATTTGTGTTTTATATTCTTCTTTTGATGGCTAATGTTGGATTTTGTAGTGAAATTTTGCACAAAGCAGCTATGTCTGATTGCAAGCTTGTGCTCACTCCTCTTCCCACTAAATTCTCCGCAACATATCCGAATGAGCCTTCATATGATCGTCCCAAACACTACCGGCAACTTGTAGGATCTCTACAATACTTGACGTTTACTCGGCTTGATCTCTTATATGCAGATAATTTTCTCGGTAAACACATGCACAATCCACTGCATTCTCGTTTTCAACTACTTAAAAATCATTTTGCGTTATGTTAAAGGCACACTATCTCTCGGTTTGCCCATTACTTCTTCCAGCCTTATTTTGATAGGCTTTGCTGAATTGAATTGGGCAATAGATCAGATTGATCGTCAATCTATCACAGGCTATTGTGCTTTCCTTGGCACCATCCTCATCTCTTGGACAATTAAGAAGCAAACTTCAGTCCCTAGATCATCAACGACAGCTCAGTATAGAGCTCTTTCAACCGCAGCCTGTGATATTATTTGGCTTAGACGGCTATTGACTGAATTCTAGATTCCCTCAATTGAACCAACTTAGCTTTATTGTGACAATGTTTCTGCACTTGCCTTGACCAATAACCTAATCTTTCATGCAAGAACTAAGCACGTAGAAATTGATTTTCACTTCGTCTGGGACTGCATTCAATCACAACATATTACTGTGCATCACATCTGCTCTCAAGATCAATCGGCCAACCTTTTCACCAAGGCTCTCAGTGCTACTCGTTACTCTCAACTCCGTAACAAGTTAACAATATAGCCAGCTATTGTTAGCTTGAGGGGGACTGATAAGGATATATGATATGTTAGTTAACCTATGCATAAGATGGCTCAACTATTCTGTTTACTGCTCCATTAACTTCTTTCAAGCTTTATTAATTCCTTGTTTCCTCTGTTTTGAGTTTCTTCACAGGTTGCCGCTGCTGCTGCTGCAAATAGCTTCAACAATAGGCTCTAGTCATATAGTCCAATCGTGCCTCCTTAGTTACCAATAGTCCTTCGATTAAACTATTGAGTGATATTTTGCCAACATTTCAGTTTTCAAAGGCTAAATTGTGCAAATCCTGAAAAGAAAATTAACCAAAAAAACCTAATTATCTTCTTTTTAAGTAATTGAAAATGAATCATGTTTGATTTTGTTCAACATTAAAGCTTCGTTTAAGATATTCTAAAATATTTTTTTAGTACAAAATTTTTTTAATTAGAAATTTTTATATTAAAAAATGTTTTAAAAATTAATAAGAAAGCTGTCCCAAATAAAACCTATAAGTAAATAAATTGCCTTAGTTCTAACAATCAATCTTACTCTAAGGTTTGGGATAATTTTTTTGCTGTTTTTCAAAATAGATTTCTAGTACAAATATTTTTAGTTCAACAAAAT